GTTTGGTCCATGATTTTCTTGACCTGAGTGGAGAAACTTTAATAAAAAGTGCTTCAACTGAGGCCCTATCAGTGCCAGGTGGAGTTGGAAGGGCATCACCTGTCTTTTTCTTCAGATGACGTGCAGAGGAAGACCTATTGATTTTGTCCCAGAGACAGTCTGAGTCATGGCTTTGTCAGACAGCTTTATTATCCAGTGGTTAGCTCAGCTGAGACACGATTTTTGGCCAGTACAACTAACACCAAGATCACAAAGGAAAATCAGAAGGTACAGTGCACCACTCGTGATAATTGCTGTGGTGACTGTGGCAATCTGACAATTTCTTTAAACATCTATCAGTCCACTGTTACAATTAACTCCTATACTAGACACTCTGACTCATGACAAAGAGATGGTACATCATCCTAATCTTCCTTTTCGGGTTTGGAAGGTACAATACTTGGATGAAAATCAAAAGTTGATCTAATGCATTTTGTGTAGGCGGAGAAAGCATCTGTGAGAAGGATACAGGTTACAACAGTCTCAGCTGGACGGTGATCAGTGCTGGTTTGTTTCCCTTTCCATTAGATGTGCTAAGGCAAATGTGGAAGCTTGTTTATGCCTGGAGAAAATGAAGTTAAGCAGTGTTTTATTGATTGTGAAGTACCTCATCTGGGAAGAGTTGCAGAACATTGTGAGAGACTGCGTGTTAGCTATGGATATTCAGAAAGGCTACCGCTGTATAGTACCAGTGAGTGTGGATGAGGTCATTTTATGCTCATTGAGTGCACATGTTGTCTGTGCATTCTGTCACACTGACACGAGCTTGTGAGTTTTTGACAGAAGTATGGCATTTGTCAAGTGCTAAACTGACCCCTTACATGTGACAATGTATGGATGTAGCAAGAAAAAGTGTTGCACATCTTTTCTAGTACAAGGTGGATGCGCCATATACAGTTGTTAAAATCTGTGTCCATCTTTGTCTTCTCTGAAACACAGTATCTGGAAGGATGTATTACATTCTCATTTAGATTCCCTGACATTATTGCAGGCTTTGATAGTTAGATTCTAAAATTACTTAAAAGCATTCTTACCAATTTGGAAGGACACAGCTAACTGGGATCTCAGGCCACAGCGTACAGTTCTAATAGCATTTCCACTCAGCATCTGGCCTCAAGTTCACTTTTTCTTTCTCCATGAAGGTGTGGGTTTTGACACCTCTTAGAAGGGTTTGGAAACTGGGAGCTTCCTGTGATGTGTTCCATTTATGTAGTATTTCCATTAGGCCAGATGCGGTGGGTTTTTTTTTGAAATTTACTTGAGATTCATATCACACAAGATAGCCAGTTAACTATGTTTTTCTATTATGGAGATTTCACTTGGCAAGTATCAGAAGAGCCCTACCTTTCTATTTAAACGGGACTAAGCCCTTTAGTTGTTGTCTTTGCTGAACAGTTAAAAGGCAGTGTATGCTTCATACAAAGGCCTTTAAAGTGGGAGTTGCTCTATCCACTTCTGTAATTATCTCTGTTAACACTTGGACAATATTAAAGCTAATGCAATGGTGATGTGTACTACTTCATTTTAGACATAACTGTGGCAGCAGAAGTGGGATATTGTTAGTCCTTTCTCCTGCATTCTGATCATGTCAGTCCTCTCCATTTCCTTCAGTGCTTCAGCCTTCTTCAGCCTGGTGCACATTCACAAACTGGATTGTTTGGAGACCTCCCACCGTGGAAGACACACAGGGAGAGATGCCTGAAAAAAGAAAGAGGAGATACTAACCTGTACAGCACAGGGTAGCTCCTGAAATGTCTTTGTTCATTGTGTCATTTGCCCCTTTCTTTCGCAGTTTCATGTGTTGTGTTTGACATGGGGGGAACTGAAATAGTTGCTGATCCTGTCATTGCTCTAATTCCATGTAGATGGTGGTCCATGGGGGTAGTCAGAGAATATGCACAGACTGAAGAAACAATGCTAACAAAGTCACCACTGTTAAACTTTTCTTTTTTCTGCTGACCACCTGACATGTACCTGGAGGGATATGGACATTCCGTATTCAGAGAGGCATTCTATGATGTAGCGGTTTTGTAAACTGGACTGTAACTCGTGATTTTTGCAGAGGTAGAATCCCAAGATACTCATGCCAGCTGCAGTTAGTAATTCAGGATTACCTAATAACGTGTTTTGTATGTCCAAGTTACCAATGTTGTCCAGTGTATTGTATAACATAAAATGTAATTTAATCCTGAATGACGGTTGTGAGAAGAAAAATGTAAGATCTGAATTATTTCATGGGTTGATGCAAGAGATGTTTCACAATGGTGCTCCTGAAGATAGAGCAAATCTGTTACCTTCACATCTTGCATTTCTAATGTTCTTGTATTACATTCTCTGAGAGACCGCAGAATTTAGGTCTGTGTAGGAAAGGAAATTCAATAATAAAATTAATATGGAAGCTTTTAAGACGTGTTTAAGCTTAAAAGCCATAAGCATATTCTCCTTTTAATTATATTTTATGATATTACCATCTATACCATAAGTTAAATTTTATATTTACATTACTTTGCCTGAAAAAATGGACCAAGTGCTTCAATAGTGGTGCTACAGATGGGAATCCTAGCATACCACATACCTGTTCTCTCGAAATCTTCACATTAGTGATACTGTCTTCTAGCCTGATCTGAATTCTTACTCAGGTCTGTTACCATTTGGTTTTATGACCAGTCTTACTTTAGTATCAGTATCTTCTCCTTCATCTCCATCCTCCTACAGACTGATGTTCTTTTTTCTGTTACTACAAATTCGGGTATCAAAAAATAGTTTGTTATGCGCAAATACAGATTTACTACTGCCATTTGAAAAATGTTGAGAAGATGGGTGTTCAGAAAGACAGAAGGGTAATAATTTATAAGAAGAATTGTATAATTGCTTGGCACCCTTCTGCATTTGTCTACGTTTTCGTTTCTGAACGAGTCAACCCAACAGTAGCTTCCATCAGTCCTTAATCAACCATTTTCTCCTTGTGCTTTCCTCTAGCCAACAATTTGTTCTTTTTTTAGCTGCTGACATTATGCATGGGTGACTTGGAAATGATAATGTGCCATGCTCATGTTGTATTTATATGTTTTATAATAATTTCTCTTTTCTGGCTGTCTTAGACACAAATCAGCATCAAACTTCCCTCAGTCGGGTCATTAAATCGCATAGAGCTGAGTGAAACAGCAAAGAAAGGTTCAAGATAAGTGAAGTGTCTCTTCTGTACTGAGTGTTCGGTGCCTTTTAGTGTGGAAGTGTGTCAGGCAGCTGAGTTTGTCTTGGCATAGGGCAACTGCCTCCCTTAAAAAAACAAACAAAAGAAGCCTGTCAAAGAGGAAACAGCAAAAGCAGCTTTGCAGTTCTACCTGCATTGGAGGTGACTGCCAGATACAAACATGTCTGGTCTGTAAGGAAGACTGAGTCAGCTGATCAGCTGATTTCAAACTCCCGTACTTAGCAACGACACCACTGGGTACCTCTTTGGATAACACACTTCTTCACCTCCCAGGTATTTCTTTATCTTACTTTATCAAATACTGAGGAAGCCCTGTGAATGTGAAATATTGCCTAGATTCAGAAGATAGCAATTTCTGTGATATATACTGTTGTGATTTGTTTTTGTTTTTTATTTTTTTTAATGGAAGAATGGTCCTGTTTTATTGCATCTTTCAGCCCTTTGGTAGTGGGATGATTTTGTGCATGCTTATTTTTTTCTTAAGGCTTTTTACTCGAAGGATCATCTTTCACCCATTTAATCTCTCATCCAAGAACTGCTGTCTAAGAGACTTTTTGTCTTTCAGAGGTTCTGTGTCATTACATTTTTCACATAGGTTAACAACACTGTTCTGCCTATTCCCAAATGTCATGGTCTGTTATGTGTCAGAAATGTAAAATTTTGAATATATGTGTATTTGGACAGGCAGAAGGTGACTATAACATGTATATGTTTTGAATAGTAAAGTATAAATGGGTAGGCTTTGGATATGCTGTGGCAAATAATTTAATTACAGTTGACAACAAACCCATTGCCATACTGTAGAAAAGATGAAGAAAACCAGAATTTTTTCATTTCCTCAGTGCGGCTTTGAATTTGTGAGATGATGATGAATGCTGAAGAGGGAAATTTTACTAAGGAAAAAATAATATTGTAGGAATGAAAGTATGATGGTAGAAAAGACAAATCCTGTTGTTAGGAGATGACAGAGATAGCTGAAGAGGGCAAGTATTGTGTGGGAAGAATGCACGATGAAAGTAGCTGTAGCAGGAAAGCCAGTGCTGTGTCATCATGTTAATATGTTGATAAGTGATACTATGTGTATGTGTATATAGGTAGATATTTGCACATATTTATTTCAATATCACGAGTAGTATATATATGAATAATATACATAGTAATGCAGTAAATATATTACTGTAAGAAATGTAAATTGTATGAAAAATATGTAATCATGCAATAATTTAATATGTAATAGTGTAATTTTAGTACCACACACCAAATACTACTCTTTCTGTTCACAGAAGAATTTGATGTAGCATGAACATTCTAACACACTGATGTAAAAGTAGTTAGTTTAGTTGCTGGGGCAGTTGTTTGACGACAGAGATTCATGTCATTATGGAACCTTTTGTCATAGTGGCTTAAGAAGGTTTCTACAATAAGTAACAGCTTTAATCCCTTTAAATTTTCCTTCCTTCTGCGAATATTCACTAGATATGTAAGATTTTGTGATTTTCATATTTTTCTAATACTTTCTGACTCAGTACTTTATTGTGGCGGTTGCTTATAGGAGAGTGTTACTGTACCTTTGGATTCTAAGAATCAAGAAATTAGTTTAAGGTTTACATGCTCAAAGCTTTTTATCCAAGCCTGTGCTGGACGATGCAATTCAACAGGGAAGTAAACATGCAATCAACTCTGTGTCAAAAATATATCTGATTGTTTAAGAGGTGCCATCTTAAAAGAAATGTTGTTTTATTTGCAGAAAGCCATATTCTTGAGGACGTAAACAAGTGTATCATTTCACTGAGAGAGCAAAATGTGGACAATTTAGATCGTGCAGCAGGTGCAATCCGAGGACGTGCTTCAAGAGTAGCTCATATCGTTTCGGGTGAGATGGACAATTATGAGCCAGGAGCTTACACCGAAGGAGTGATGATGAATGTTCAATATTTGACCAAGAATGGTAAGTCTGATTTCTAAACTATGTTCTCAGTTTCTTTAGTGTTATAAATTTTCCTTTATATGCCACAGTTAAAAGTGAATCCTGTGATTCTCTCATCTAACATGCTAATTATGCACTAATGATTGACTGTATGATCTCTTACCTCCTTTCAGCATGCTATCCAGTTATGATGATACCATGCAGTTCAGAACTACTTTTTAAAATTTGATTTGAATTACATCATTTATGTACGGTCTTTTTAAGTTATGAAAGACTTTTACTGGAGTTTTTAAATAAATGCAAGTAACAATGTTTGGGGACTTGTGACTGATGAGGCAGCAGCTTTCCACATTGTTGTACTGGACTCACTACATCTATTCTAAGCAGATGAAAGGCAAAATCAGAGAAACAATCAGGTTCGTGATTTGTGTGTACTTACCACTTTAAGGACTGTTGAGCAGTGATAAATATCCCCAGATATCTTCAGTTTTGCTGTAGAAATTTGGAAGCTCCTAAAATGGTTTGCAGTATCCATTTCGTTTTTCATGATATTGAAAAAGAGGGTAACCTGTACTGGAATATCCCTGTGCTGGCAGCAGGGGTGTAACTGGACTATTTTAGAAATGGTTTCTGTTGTTTTTGTAAGCCGTTGTTGTTCATGTAAACGAATCTCAGGAATTTCATAGTGTATACTTAATTTAAAAAGTTGTCTGTGGAGCTCCCAGGTCTTCCATGTTTTTAGTGGTTGCAAGTCTGATAGTTGGGCAGTTAAAAAAATTTTCATTCAGAAGTTTTCTGGCAAGTCTGTACCTCTCTGGAATGCAGGATTTAGCTTTATGAACTCAGAGTTCTAAATCCTAGCTCTGTCAGTCTAAACAAATTTCCAGTACCTTACATTTGACTGACATTTACTTTATTTTACTGCAAAAAAAGACAAGAATTTTGTTTGAGCTCTTTCTTAATCAGTTCAAGTGGGTCCAGGACAGAACTGTCTTCATGTGAAACAAGAGTGAATTGACGTTGCAATGAAGTGGAAAAGGGACAAAATAGTGAGAAGAGTTTGAAATAGGCTTGCCTGTTTTTGTTATCTTTTCTGGTATTTTGATGAGAAAATCTGAGAAGTTTCAACATGATGTTCTTTTTTCATAACTTCTGAAAGTACTATGACAAATATCAAGGGAAGCAGCAATTACAGGAAAGCATAGATTTGATTCCCATGTAAAAGCTGAGCTCTTCTTTCTTGAAACCGGTAGTGTTTAAACACATTAGGAGCTGACACTGATTTCTGTTCTGTTGCCTTGCTTTGACAGTAATATATAATGTATCTAAATCCATGTCTCTACAAAAGACAGGAAGACATAAAACTGGTTCTGGTTGGAATGTTTGCCTGTGTCAAGGGACGTCAAGCGTGGTGACATCTGCTCAAATGTCTTTGCAGTACTTCAAACCTAAGAATTCAATATATTTACATTATTCAATAGGAGTGGAAAAAAGAAACCTACTTTTAATTCTTACCTGTATTTATAGGATCTGCAATGAACACACATCGAGTCATGTGAGGTTTTTTGGATGCTTGATAGTTTTGGTTGTTTGTTTTGACTGTTTCAGCTCACAGGGAAAATGCAGGTAAGCTGCAGCCCTCAGGTGAAACCCAAAACATTCTGTTACTGCTGCGTCTTTTAGGAGCCATCTGATTGCAAAGCGACAATTCGCTAGGGGAGAACTCTGTGTTTATGCTGCCATAGGCTCCTAAATTAGCTTGCATGAGTAACCTAGGGCAGTGAAGTGCATCCTTTATGCCCAGTGAAAAGGTAATGTGTTACTGAAGAGAAATTATTACAGGCAGAGTATAGAGTAAATGAAAATTGAATTATAGAACAATAGCATACACAGAAAGTGCAGAGAAATAAAAACGCAAATGAAAAAGAGACCGGGAGCCAGAAATGGGAAGGATGGAAATTGGAGGTAACAGGATACAGAAATTGTGCATAAGGAGGAACAGATACATTTAATCTTTGTTAAAACAAAGACTGAAGTTAAATTGTAAAGCATATGTTGAGGTAATTTATGAGAAAAAAGAGGTTAAATTCTCTGCATTCCAGTATATTCAGGAAAACACCATAAAATTGCTGAATCTGTCTCAGCTGGAAGACATCAGACATATTTGGGATGGTTAAGTGATCTAGTCAACAATAATACTGTAATACTGCTGTACAATGAGTATTAAAAACTGGTGCTTAGTTTCTTGGCTCAAGTTGTATAATCTTGTGTAGACACAAGTTGTTGTTGACAGCCAAATGGATCTCTCCAGTACTGTGCAATAGAGTGTCTGCTTTCTCAGGCATATGTTACGCCACTCCTCCATTTTACTCCTTCCCTTTTGCCCAGTAAGAAAACCCAAAGCAAACTAGTGACAAGGCCCTCTAAGAGCACTGTTTACATTGAATCAAATGATTATAGAATGGTTTGAGTTGGAAGGGATGTTAAAGATCGTGTAGTTTCAACCCCCTGCCATGGCCAGGGACACCTTCCACTAGACCAGGTTGCTCAGAGACCCATCCAGCCTGGCCCTTCCAGGGAGGGGGCATCCACAGCTTCGCTGGGCAACCTGCCCCAGTGCCTCACCACCATCATAGTGAAGAATTTCTTCTTTATATCTAATCTAAATCTACCCTCTTTCAGTTTAAAGCCATTACCCCTTGTCCTATTGCTACCTGCCCTTGTCAAAAGTCCCTCTCCAGCTTTCTTGTAGGCCCCCTTCAGGTACTGCAAGGCTGCTGCAAGGTCTCCCTGGAGACTTCTCTTCTCCAGGCTGAACAGCCCCAACTCTCTCAGCCTTTCCTCCTGGGAGAGGTGCTCCAGCCCTCTGATCATTTTTGTGATCAGCCCTCCTCTGGACCCACTCCAACAGGTCCATGTCTCTCCTTTGCTGAGGGCTCCAGAGCTGGATGGAGGACTCCCACTCTGGTGTGACCCCACCTGAGTAGAGGGGCAGAATCACCTCCCTCAACCTGTTGGCCCCGCTTCTCTTGATGCAGCCCAGGATACAGTTGGCGTTCTGGGCTGCAAGCGCACATTGTCAGGTCATGTTGAGCTTTTTGCCAGCCAGCACCCCCAAGTCCTTCTCCTCAGGGCTGCTCTCAATCCATTTTCTACCCAGCCTGTATTTGTGCGTGGGATTGCCCCAACCCGTGCAGGACCTTGCATTTGGGCTTGTTGAACTTCATAAGGTTCACACAGGCCCACCTCTCAAGCCTGTCAAGGTCCCTCTGGAAGGCATCCCTTCCTTCCAGCATGTTGCCTGCACCATACAGCTTGGTGTCATCAGCAAACATGCTGAGGGTGCACTCAATCCCATCGTCCATGTCACCGACCAAGATGTTAAACAGCACTGGTCCCAGTACTGACTCCTGAGGGACGCCACTTGTCACTGGTCTCCACTTGGACATCGAGCCATTGACCACAACTCTTTGAGTGGAACCGTCTAGTCAATTCCTTACCCACCAAGTGCTCCATCAATCAAATCCATGTCTCTCCAATTTAGACACAGGGTTGTCATGCGGGACAATGTCAAATGCTTTGCACAAGTCCAGGTAGATGACATCACTTGCTCTTCCCTTACCCACCAATGCAGTTAGCCCATCATAGAAGGCCACCGAATTTGTCAGGCATGATTTGCCCTTAGTGGAGCCATGTTGGCTGTCAGCAATCACCTCCTTGTTTTCCATGTGCATTAGCATAGTTTCCAGGAGGATCTGCTCCATGATCTTGTCAGGCACAGAGGTAACACTGACTGGCCAGTAGTTTCCTGGGTCTTCCTTTTTCAAAATGGACATTATGCTTCCCCTTTTCTGATCACTGGGAACTTTATTGGACTGCCAAGACTTCTCAAATATGATGGATAGCGGCTTAGCAATTTCATCCACCAGTTCCCTCAGGACCCGCGGATGCATCTCATCAGGTCCCATGGCCTTGTGCACCTTCAGGGTCCTTAGATGGTCTCAAACCTGATCTTCTCCTACACCGGGAGGTTCTTCATTCTCCCAATGCGTGCTTTTGCCTTCTGCTACTTGGGTGGAGTGGTTGGAGCACTTGCTGGTGAAGACTGAGGCAAAAAAAGTCATTGAGTACCTCAGCCTTCTCCACATCCCGGGTAACCAGGTCTCCCGTTTCCTACCAGAGAGGGCTCACATTTTCTGTAGTCTCCCTTGTATCACCGACAGACTTATAGAAACTTTTCTTGTTGCCCTTGTCATCCCTGGCCAGATTTAATTCTGTCAGGGCTTTAGCTTTCCTAACCAGATCCCTGACTGCTTGAGCAATGTCTCTGTATTCCTCCCAGGCTACCTGTCCTTGCTTCCACCCTCTGTAGGCTTCCGTTTTGCGCTTGAGTTTGTCCAGGAGCTCCTTGTTCATCCATGCAGGCCTCCTGGCTTCTTTGCCTGACTTCCTCTTTGTTGGGATGCGTCGCTCCTGAGCTTGGAGGAGGTGATCCTTGAACACTGACCAGCTTTCTTGGACCCCTCTTCCCTCCAGGGCTTTATCACATGGCACTCTACCAAGCAGGTCCCTGAGGAGGTGAAAGTCTGCTCTCCTGAAGTCCAGGGCAGTGAGCTTGCTGTGCACCCTCCTCTCTGCCCTAACGATCTTGAACTCCACCATTTCGTGGTCACTGCAGCCAAGGCTGCGCTTGAGCTTCCCATTCCTCACCAGCCCCTCCTTGTTGGTGAGAACAAGATCCAGCAGAGCACCTCTCCTCGTGGGCTCCTCTGTCACTTGGAGAAAAAAGTTATCATCAGTGCAGTCCAGGAACCTCCTGGATTGCTTATGCCCTTCTGTGTTGTCCTGCCAACAGATAACGGGGTGGTTGAAGTCCCCCATGTGGACCAGGGCTTGTGATCGTGAGGCTACCCCTATCTGCCTATAGAGGGCCTCATCTGCTCGGTCTACCTGATTGGGTGGCTCGTAGCAGACACCCACTATAATGTCACCAGTCCCTGCCCTGCCTTTAATCCTGACCC